GCCTGTGGGCGCGAGGGCCCCGCGGGAGCGACCCCGGGGTCTGCACCCCACGTTCATCTTAGGAACGAGCCGCGCCGGCACCTCCGCGCTCGGTGAGGCCCGAGAGACGCCGGTGCCGTGAGGACGCCGCCGCCAGCCCGTGAGCCCGCGAGCCGGGACGGCCGCTCCGCAGGCGGGACGGGGGGCGCCGGCCGGGCCGCTCCCGGGCAGCGAGGACGGAAGTCACAGCCAGAGCACCCGGGAAAAGACAGCCACGTCACGCACACCCCCACACCGCACCCCGCACCCCCCGCACAGCTCATAAACAAATCCACCAGCGCGGCCAGATGAAGCGTCACCACACAGAGAGCCACGTTTCCACACAGCACCCAGCGCGGGAAGGAAACCACCCAACACTCACTGACAACGCCAGGAGGAGGCGGCCACCGCCGTCGCGCAGCCAGGGGTCCTCCCCGCCACCAGGCGCCTGGACACCCCAACACAGCGGCAGGAAGGGGCCCCTCCCAGACACACACACACACCCCCCGTTCAGGCCTCGCCTGTCTTAAGGTAAAGAGCCGCGGGGGACCCATCACCCTTTACAACTTAGCTTTTCAAGGCGATGAACTTCAAGGTTCACCAGGCAACATCTGAGCGGTGCTGGGAGCCCCCGGAAAGGATCCCGCTACCGGCGGAAGCAATACAACCCCTTCCGGAGATTTTCACTTCCATTTTCTCTGCCTGTGCGCTTCCCAAGACCCCGGGGGTCGGCCTGGCACGGGTCGGGCTGCAGGCGGGAGGGCGAGAACCGGGCCCAGGCACCCCCTGACCAGGCACCCAGAGTCTGCCCCTGAGGGCGTCCCAGGCAGACCCCGGGGGTGCAAATGCCCAGCCCAAGGCAGCTGCCCCCAGAGAACGACCCTCACTTTGGGGTCCGTCCAGCTCTTCCCTGGCAGGGTCGCAGCGTCTCTGACCCACCGTGAGACGCGCCGGAGACGCTGTGTGTTTTCACTGAAAAATCTAAGTGTGGGAGGAGACGTCAGGGCTCCGGGGAGGGTCCCCCACCCTGGCTCAGCTCGCATCCATGGGGGCCGCACAGACCCTGCCCCCAGACCCTGCAGAGCTCCCCCGGAAGCGAGCCCAGCTGTGCTGACCCCGTCCAGCGAGACGCAGTGACAATGGCTGGCTAAGCGGGGTGGAGATGGGGCAAGAAGGCCCCACAAAGGAGGCCACACCCTGGGCAGGGGTGGCCACGGCTCCCTCCTCGCCTCTCCCCTCCGCCTGTCCAGGCCCAGATTGGGCGGCACTCCGTGGGCGCATCCCCCAGGCAGTGCGAGCCCAGGGGCTCGGAGCACCAGCGTCCCCACACCTGCGTCGCCTTGGCCAAGGGCGTCGCTTCTGCACCACGGATGCTCTCCCCTCCTTGACCCCTGGCTGGCTGCAGCCACTGCCCGGCCTGGCAGCAGGGACTCATCTGGGGGCAGCACATGATGGCTGGACCAGGCCTGGACGCGGAGCAGGTAGGCGGCAGGTAAGCGGTCGGGCCCACGGCCGTGGGATCCAGGGCCTGAGAGTCTGACCGGCCACGGCGGGCTGGTGATGGGCGCTCCCGTCCCCACGACTGCGTGTGCTGAACAAGCAAGTAGAGACACCAAGGACCTCACGCTTCACCCTCTGCTGCTGGTTAACGCCCTGGATTCTTTTCAGCGCGTGCGGTGCAGGCTGAGGCTCGCAGAACCCCCAAGCGAGACAGGCAGCACATCAGCCGGGACGCCCGGCTTCCCACTAACCGTTTCAACACGTGCGACAGCTTCCACCGTCGAGTGCCAAAGGCTTCATTTGTCAACCAACATCATCAAGGAATTGGCGCTCTCTGCCCGGGAGTCACCTTTACCTGACGTTCTTTATTAGATTCTGGCCAGCACCGCCTTTCCAGAGCCACCGGCTGCACCGCGCGGCGGCCATTTCACCCAAATCACGGGCACAGTCCTGAGCTTGCCTCTGAGGGGCGCCTGGCGGGACGGCTCCTGCCGACGCCGCCGCCGACGGGGAGATGCTGGCCAGCTAAGCACCTCCACAGAGAAGGGGCGCGGCGATGTGTGGCAGACCAGGCCTCCCACCGCGTGCTTCCCGCTGGGGAGGGGGCTGTGGATTTCCGAGGGCGCCTCGCAACCAGCCTTCCACATGGGCTTGCAAGTCATCACGGCGACCAAGTGCTCTCACAGCCCCGGGGACTTGGCTGTGTCATCTCAACAGTTTCCTGCCAACAGGCCCAGCCGGGCCTTCAGGTGGGACTTAAATCCTTGCCTCGTGGCTTCCCACCCCCCAACACTTTCCTGACGGAGAGGATGCGGGGGGCTTCGGCCCCTCAGCCTGAGCGGCCAGATGCTCACAGCAGCGGCAGCCTGGTGCCGGGGTCTGGTGTCGGGGGCCCATGGTATTGGGGGTCCCAGTGTTGGGGTCCCCAGTGTTGGGGGAAGGCACGGTGCGCCCTGGCCTAGCTCATTAGCTGTCCCCGTGGCCGTTGGCTCGGGGCTTAATTTTGGAGAAGGGTGTAAACCAGGATGCTGGGGCAGAGGAGAACCAGAACACCTGGGGGGTGGAGCCGGCCCCCTTCCCGGGCCCCCTTCCGGAAACAAGCCGCGGAGTGCCCGCTAATGAGCGCACAGGCACGCGCGGGGCCGCGAACACTCGGACACACGCACGTGCTCTGGACCGGCTCATTCTGGGGGGGAGGGGAGTCCACGAGCAACACACCCACGGGCCTGCCCACGCAGAGACAGCCCGTCCTGGGGTCCTTGAGGGGGACGCAGACGTTTCAGCGAGAAAATAAACTGCAAGGTCAAAACCTGCAATTTGCTCAGGCCACGCTGGTGCCCCCCAGAGACCCCCAGACCAGCCCGTACATGGGGGAGGGGGCAGCGGGGTCTCCATGGCCGGCGTCTGTGCCTCTGTCCCTTCTCCCCAGGGAAGGCCTGGCCTTCACGAGCGGGAAAACTGCCCGTTTTCTGACGTGACGCTTTACTTGGCAAACGCCCCTTCGACGCAAGGGGACTGCGGGGCCGGCCTGCCCGGGCCACCGGGGAGTCTGCTCTGAGCCCGAGAAGCGAGAAGGGCCCTGTCCTCCGGGAGGTCACCTTGAAGGGGGAAAAGCCGGGGCTTCCCTCTGGAGCGGGCAGGGCAGAGGCCAGAGAGGCGGGAGCTGCCCCGGCCACGCCGGCCACAACCCGGCACAGGGCTGCGGGCCGCGACCGCCGCAGGGCCCGCCACGGGGCTGTGGGGCAGGCGAGGCCGGTCCAGGCGGCCACCCCGCGGGCCCCCCCGCCCCGCGCACCCAGGCAGACCCCGCCCGCCCCTCAAGGCCGCTGGATCGGGCCAGGGCCCGCGCCTTCCGGGGTCTTCTCGGCCCGGCCTTGGGGCGGCGGCCGGCTGGGCCTCCCGGCTCCGCCCGGACCCCGCGTCCCGCCCGCGCCGCGGGCCCAGCTCAGCCCGAGGGCCACGGCGGCCCGGCCGGCCCGCGCGAGGAGGGCCTGCCCGGGGGGCTTACCTGCCGCCGGCTCCAGGCGGGGGCTCGGGCGCCGCTGGTTCCGCGCCGGGTCAGCCCGGGCCTCGAGGAGACGCGGGCGGTGTCCGCGGCGGGGGTCCTCGCGCCCCGGGGCGGCGCCCCGCAGCCCGCGCGCCTCCTCAGCGGCCTGCCGCGGCCGCGCCTCCGGGTGTGGCCGCCGCCAGCCGTCTGGGGCCCGACTGACCCCCGCGAGGCCCGCGGCGCCCCAGGGCTGAAGCCGGGGCCAGCGACTGCACGCGCGCCCCCCACGTGACCGCCCACGCGCGCGGACAGCCCCGCGGGGCCATCGCCGCCCACGTGACAGGCGCGCGGGGGCGGAGCAGTCGGGCCCCGCCCCCGCCCCGGGCCCCGCCCACCACAGCGCTGCCACCCCCGCCACGGGCACGGCCCCGCCCGCCTCAACTCAGGGCCCGCCCGCCGCCCCACGCAGGCCCCGCCCACGCAGCGCAGGCCCCGCCCACCCAACGCAGAACCCCGCCCAGCAACGCGCGGCCCCGCCCACCGCACGCACGGCCCCGCCCACCCCACCCCACGCCTTCCCGGCCCCTCCCCGAACCCTGGCTCCACCCCGCGCCCCCACCCCGCGGCCCCTCCCGCTCCTCCCGCCGGAGTCGGGTCGCACCTGCTGGAGGACGCGGCGGGGCGGCCCCGGGAGCGCGTGGACTCGCCGCCGTGTCCCCGGGAGCCGCCCGCGCGCCGCCCCTGCCCGGCTCGGCAGGACAGGAACGGGGACCCCCCCGCCCGCCCCCCGCCCCCAGCCCCCGCCCCCAGAGGCGCGGCCCAGTCAGGCGCTGACGCACACACGAGGCCGTCACAGCTTTTACTGGCGGGAAACGCGCTACAGACACCGCGGGACGCGCGCGGGGCTCCAGCCGCGTCACACTTTTCAATATGAAACAGGGGGCATCTCGCGGAGACGGGCCGGCCGGGCCCCCCGCGCCCCCCGCGCCCCCCGCGCCCCCCGCCCGCGCCGGGGCGGAGCGCAGCCTGCGGGCCCGCCGGACCCGCCTGCCGGCCGCGAACCCGGCCCGGCCGCTCCGCGGAGGGAGCCCGGCCGCGGGTGTGCATCTGGCGGGAAGGAGGGAGAAGCCCGCAGGCCGCGTCCCGCGCGCACCGCCCGGCCTGGGAGGGGCCGGCGCCCTGGGGAGCGGGCGGGGTGGCCCTCGGGTCAGGGGCTGTCACCAACTGCCGGCTCCATCGCAGGCGTGAGCACAGTTCCTCCTCGTTAAAAGAAGTCTGAGCAAGATAAAACACGGTTTCCACTTTATGATGTGAGGAATCGATTGTAAACCAGAACCAGGGAGAACAGCGGTGAAGACGGCGGCCCCGGCCCGTGCGGTGCGCCCGCCTCCCGACCTGGCCGGCCCGCGGGCCGCCCGGCGCCGCTCGGGCGGGGGACGCCTGGGGTGGCCGGCAGCTGGGCCGGGAGCCCGTCAGGCCAGCCCCAGCGCCTTGGCCTCTGGGGGAGCTTCAGCCTCGAGGCCTCTGGCCCTCGGCGTTGTTCCCCAAGGCATTTCCAAGATGCCGCCACAGCGAGGCAGCATTTGGATGAATCACATTTCCCCAAATGAAAAAAAGGACAACAAACGTGTGTGCACGTGTGCGTGCCTGTGCACGTGAGTGCCTGAGTGTGCATGTGTGTGCTGCACACCTGCACACCTGCATGTGTGCACCTGGGAGTGCACACCTTTATCCGGAGGCAGTGCTTAAAATCATAGCTTAAGAACATCTCTATCAAAAGTCTAAAGTATGTAACGTGTAAATTCCTTTGGTTTATCAAGTAAATGTTAAGGCATTTCAGATTCCCCTTAAAGGGTTTACTGCTTTCTCAAATTATATTCCTTTTACCTATGTAGAAAGTTAAAAATACAGAGGTGAGGAAAAAAAAAAAACCATGCATCATCACTGCATTTCACAAAAGCACTTTTTCTGCAACCAGAGAAGTTTCTAGTAGATGATGAAGGGCTGGTCTCTCCACAGGGCGGCAGGGAGGAGCAGCAGCAGGACGTGTGAGCCCCTGGACACGGGGTGCACGCAGGTGAAGGCGGGGGCACAGCCGCGGGCAGGCGGACCTGCAGAGACAGGGCGGCTGGGTGGGGACACACGCGGGGTGCAGCCTGGACTGCCGGTTACTTTTCGCCCTTGTTTTACTAACAGGAGCGGCATCTACTGATTGGCAAGAGTAGCTATAAAAACTCATTCTCTAAAGTGATTCCAGGCTTTGTTCATCTCCTATGATTTAACTTTAATTGAAATTGGGAAAGCAACTTAATCATTTTGAAAACAACCGTACATACTACAGGCAATTTTGAGATAATCCCACAATTTAATTAAAGCTCCATTGGACGAGAGTTTGGCAAATCTGTGTTTGTTTCTGTTTTAAGCATCTGTAGGTAAAGGAGTTCTGATTAACACAGAAACACGACCCAGGCAAGCCGGCAGCCGGGTTTCCCTGGCGACTGTCTTGCAGGCTCCCCGCCGGAGGCGCCGCCAGAGGGCTCAGGGCCAGCTCAGGTCGGCGCTGAGGCTCCGGTGAGCAGGAGGCCGGGCCGCTTGGCCCCGCTGACGCCCACCTCCACTCCTGGAATATCCGCCCTCCAGGCCTGAGCAGAGGGCCCTGTGCGCTGGGCTGAATGGGCAGCCCCGGCGGCTCCAGCCTGTCCACCCTCCACCTCCACCTATGCCGGTCACTGTTCAGCACCGGGACAGGTGGGCGAGGCCATAGGCCTGCCCGGTCTATGCAGGCACCAGCCTTCCAGGGCGCGCGGACCGGGCTCTGCAGGAAGCTTCCGTTTGGGCTTTGAAAGGCAAAGCCAGGTGAGCAGGCCAGGGCAGCACGAGCTCGGGCTCACTGGCCCTGCCACCCCCAGGCCTACGGCCGCTCCGAATGGCTCAGATACTTAATTTTCGGTTTGGCCAATGCTGACCCGGACGATGTCCATCTTTCTGCTTTTTCAGGCATCTACAAGATTCACCTGTAACATCCAGGTGGCAACAAGTGGCCTTAAAGGCGGGCATGGCTGCCCCTCCCCAGTCGCATTCAGGGTATGTTCTCCAAGCCGGCACCTCCAGTGCGAACCCTGAGCCCGCCCAGCGTGCCCCTGCAGGGCCCCCGCCGGCCCACAGGCCCCCGCGGGGAGACGCAGGCCCACTCACCGCTGACTCTGGGGATCCGGACCTGACCGCTGCTGGCCCCGTCGCCCCCGGCCGTGCTGGCCTTCACCTCCACCACGCAGTCCTCCTGCCGCGGCAGCAGCAGCTCGGCGCGCGTCTCGTTGGTGCTCAGCACCTGCGCGCGGCTCTGGCTGCTCGTCCTGTAGAAGACCTAGGACACAAGGACACGCGGCTCTGGTGGGCCTGTCCCCGCTCCACGCGCCGGGTCCCACCCCGGCCAGCCCCAGCCGTCCAGCAGCTCCTCCGTCGAGGTCGCGGGGAGCCCACACCCTCCCCAGGGTGGGGCTGCGCGTCGTGGGGGGCGCTGGGCCGATGTGGGGACCCCCGGTGGCCGCGGCCGCTGTGGTGGGGTCTCTGGCTCGCCGGTACACGCAGCAGCCAACATCCAAAATTCCACACGAGGAACCAGGTCGCTTAAATCAACATTCGAGAAATCACCTCGCAGGAGCACCTGCGTGTAGGCGGCCTGTCATCCGCATGGGAGCTGGTTACAGGAATCAGGTCAGCAGCGTCCAGACCCGCCCACCCCACTCGCCTTGTAGCCGGTCACCTCCGACTCGTTCTCCGCGGCGGTCACGCGCTCCCAGCGCAGGAGGACCTTCCTGCCGGTGGCGTTCCAAGCCACGTTTCCTGGGGCCTGGCTGGGGGCTGGAGGGCAGAGAGAGATTTCAGCAGGGCCAGCTGACAGGGAAGGGACAGGAGGGCGCAGTGGGCGGGACAGGGGCCGCAGGGTGAGGCAGGAGGGCGCAGCGGGCAGGGTCTGGGGCCTCAGGGAGAGGCGGGGCACCGAGTGGGCAGGGGCCGAACCATCCCTGGGGAGCCCCCTTAGACAGAGTCCCCTTAGAGGCCCTGCGCACTCCTGTCCTGGAAAACGGAGGCTGGAGCGGCCAGGGGCTCCACCTCCTCGACGAGGGCTGATGTGGACGGCCGGGGAGGCCAGGCCGGGGCCCTCTGGGCACACAGAGGCGATAGGAAGGGACCCCGAGCAGGTAGAAGTGACGGCGTCCGCGGAGGAAGAGCAACAGACTCTGTTTCAGTCCTGGTTTACCAAGTTTAAGTCAATTTGGAGAAAAATAAGGCAACACACTGCACACTAGTGAGGACTTCGCGGTCACCACCAAGCTCCGAGAGGACCGGGGCTTGGGGCTCAGCTCCAGGGTCCCCAAGATGGGGCCCAGCCGCATCCTGCACAAGGGATGGCCACAGAGCCGGGCCTGGCGAGCAGGCCCGTGCTCCAAAGGGGACGAGCCCCGGGGAGGGGTGGACGCGCTCGGACCACAACCCTGCTCAGGGCCACCTGGGGTCTCCCAGGCCCAGGCTCATGCCTGCATCATCATTTTGCTCTCAGTGCGGCTCAGTCATGAAACTGCCGCCGTCCACTTCCACCCACCCGTGCTGATGTCCGCGGATGTGGGCTCAAGGAGCCGGACCTAAGGGCCGCGGACCAAGGACCGCGGCCTCTAAGGGAAGGAACCCTCCGCCGGGAGCCGCTCAAGCCGCCCAGGGCAGCGCTCAGCAGGCAGCAGCACCTGGCCTTGGGGAGGGACGCCCTTCAGGTCGCAACCTGCGTGGACAGCGCCCAGGCGTTGTGAGCACCACCGGCCAGACGGCTAGCGGGCAGAGAGTGGCCTGCGGAGCGTGGGTGGGGCCTGGAGCAAGTCGGGTACGTCATAGAGGGGGTGCTGCCTGCGCCCGGCGGGCAGGACTGGGTTGCGGCCATCTGGGGGTGCTCCTGGAGTGTGGCCTCCCCCCAAAGCACGTGCTCCTGTCCATCCTCCAGTCCAGGGACAGGCAGACATTACAGCAGGTTCCGTGTGCAGCTGCCTGATGTTTAACACTTTCTGTCAACTCAAGTTCTACTTTTGAGTATGCAGAAATAGGGAAAAGACGACAAAGGCTACTTTAACTGCCGCAGAGAGGCAGGACACGGCTGTATTTAGAGGGCTCACTGGCGGCCACTGCTCCCCAGGGGCCCCACGCACCAGGGGTGATACCTCCCCACGAGACCGGCTGGACACCATCACCACTGCCTGGAGCTGTGGACAGCCCGGCAGGGAGAGTCTCCTGTGGGCAGGGGCCAGGACACGCCCAGACTGAAGTACCCGTGAAGAGTGGCCTGCAAGCCGGTGTGACAGGCAGGTAGCCTCCCCTGCCACCTGCCAGGACACGGGGACAGCCTAGCCGCTCGGCCGGGAAGAGGCGCCAGCGGAGCGGGCACTGCCTAGCGCAGGACCACAGGCGGGCTTGGCTTTTTGGCTTTCCGTCTTCCCAAATGGCAGCGGCAGGCCTCTTTCCTCTCCACGGCGCAAGGGGGCTGTTAGAACAGGGGGCTGCCTGTCTGGACCCCGTGATCTCCTGGTGGAGACACAGCAGCGTCCACTCCCAACACAGGGCCTGAGAGCCCGGCCCCTGCCATGCCGACCAGCCACTCTCTGGACAGCGTCCTGACTGCCCAAGTAGGCCTGGGGAGCCCAGGGGAGGGGCTGCGGGGCTGAGACGCCCACCTGTGACCGACCGGACTGAGCGCGGGTGTTGGCACACGCCAACCTGGCACCCCAGCCACCTCCCCACATACGGGGCCCCGCTTCTCCCAGTATCTCTGCGAGCATCGCAAAGTCCTGCAAAGTCCTCGTGGCTAGAAACTGGGGCCTTAAGGATACAGCTCAACGCCTGCCTCACCGTCCATCCCGGGCCAGACACGACTGTCCTGGAACGCAGCCTAGAATGCCAAGGAAGACGATCTTTCTTTGTTCAAAATGGCAGGGAGTTCCTTGACCACAATCTCCACCGCTTTGGGTAATAAAAACTTGACACTTGAGAAGCATAAGCAGAGCGGTCACGACTGACGAGAGAATTCCGGGGCGGGGGCAGCGTCTTGCAGAGCCGCGAGGAAGCTAGGCGCCCCCCCGCAGCTGAGGGACCAGTAGGTCCCTCCCCAGCTCACAGCTGACTCCAGGGCACGTGGCTGTCCCTCCCCCAAGCCCGCAAAACCTGTGACCACAGGCGGGGGACCCGCGCCCGAGTCTGCGAGCAGCACTAACCCCGAGTCTCCAGTGGTGCGTGTAGGTGGGGTGCACAACTCAGCGCTCATGCCCCAGCCCCAGGCCCCACAGCCACCCCTGACCAGCCTGTCCAGGGGACAGAACAGCCCGGAGGTGCTCCTGGCAGCAAAGCCCATCTGAGGAGGCAACTGCGAGAAGGAAGCCACATGGACAGAGTCAGGGGCCAGTTGCCCTGGGCCTGGCCTGGACAGGCTGTGATGGCGGCAGGAGGGGGCTGGGGGAGGGAGGGGGGCCGAGGACAGAGGTCTGGAGGGTGGGCGGATGACAGAGCAGCGGATGGCAGGTGCGGGGCTGAGAGCAGGAGACCAGGAATGTGGGGGGGGCACACCAGGTCCTGCTCAGGCGGGCGCAGGGTGACCACAAACTTGGCTTTAGAAAGTCAGCGCGGGTCTGCTAGGCAGGACACCGCCCGAGATCGAAAGTCCCCACCCATTTCCCCTACCCCCAGCTGCAGCTGGAATCACCACTCGACTTTTCAGTTAAACAGCGGAATGTTTGCTCCACAAATTCCCTCTCCCAATCTCCAGACATAAAACTCTCCATGTTTCCTGTAAGAAGCCGTCTGCAGTTTCCATCAGCCCCTTTGAGCAGGAGAGTTCTTGGTGTCAGCGCTCTTTGGGTGAGGGAACAGAGACCTCTCTTAGGTAACTTGGAGAGCATAATTCATGCGTAAATGAGAAATACTTCTGAAAACCACAAGTATTTGGATATCAAAAATGAAGTGTTTAATGGAGCCACGACACTCAACGAGAGTCCTTGTGCTGAGCATCCATCACAGCTGTCGCCCAGCTCTGCACTGAGGTGGCGCCTCGCACCGAGACCCACGAGGAAGCCCTCGGCTGCCCTGCCATGGAACCTGCTCATTTACGCAGGACAGTGCAGGGCCCCCGGGAGCTCTGTGTTCTCAGGAGAGGCAGGCCTGATGGCCCCGGCGCTTGGGACTGGCCTGTTCTGAGTCCCATCCACCTCCAGCCAGATGGCCACTCCTCCTGCTGGGTCCCCGGGCTCCTGCCAGGCACGTGGGCAGGAGAGCCAGTCAGAGGGGCAATGTCTACAATCCAGAGGGGCAGACACAACAAGCAAGTCGCCAGGACGAGATTTCAGCTCTTCACGCTGAAGGCGTGATGACAATTCTTTTCATAGGTCATCGAACAACCTCACCAGGCTGTTAAATGGGATTTGAAGCCAAAGCCAGGTCAAGGGTCAGGATGAATCTTAAGAGCTGCCAGTAATGAGATCGGAAGTAGCATGAACAGACTGTTCACTGCAGCACCATTTACAACAGCCAGGAGCTGCAAACAGTCTAAGTGCTCAGGACAGAGCAGATGTGGTCGTGGACACAGTGGAATCCTACTCAGCTATGAAAAAGGCAAAGTCCTGCCACTGTGACTCCAGGATGGACCTGCAGGGAGTCTTGCTGAGCGAGGCCGGTCAGATGGAGAAAGACAACACCCCATGGTTTCCCAGCTACGTGGCGTATGGAGGAAATGGATGACACACTCCTGTTAATTTTTAGTCACATGTACCGGAAACATGTAATGTTATGATACGATCGATGTTCCTTCAATAAAAAATACATTTAATACAAAAGATGGTTTTGTTTTATCTTGGTGCCTTTGGAAAACTGGGGGCCCTTAAAAAATCAAGTGTTTAAAAATAACACATTCTTTATATGCAATCTTGGACTGACTGGGGAACGTAGGAGTTTCTGCCCCGTGCGGGGTTTCTCCCCAGCAACGCTCAGCAGTCACGCAGACCAGCTCGCCCGCATGGGCGGGGTGCCAGCTTCTGGAGCATCCCAGCAGCGTGGGAGTCTGGGCTCCTGGGACACCCCCCCCCAAGTCAGTAAGGAATAAAATCCCAACAAATACTGGTGTTCACTGAGCCACAGATACTTGACTCCCGAGGCGGAAGGAGAGGCCGGCACAAAGCCTGTCACATGTGAATACTGGCCTCCACTCACTCCATGACCTCAGGTCAGCTCAGGGACCAGCACCTGCCTCAGCATCCTCACCTCACCTCAAGTCAGGGAATGACTGAAGAATCAGCAAGGGACACAGGACACGCTCAGGGCGGGGCTGGGGACTGCTTCATGGTGGCTGTTCAAGTCACCATCCTGCAAATCCTGGAGACTGAGTGTTCACATGCTACCTCTAAATAGAAAGAGGCTGCTGCTTCTTAAATCTGCACCTCGCGCATTGCACATCATCCTGACAGCCTCACTGACTTATGCACAACCTCTCCCCTTGGTCGGTCACACCAGTTCAGTGAATTCTGATTCCAAGTCACACTTTTCTATAATCATCATCTCCTAGCAAGTAATCACATCCGCTATTAAGTCAGAGAACCAGCCAGACAAACTACTTTGCACATATTTTTGCAATCAGAATTTTTGATGGATGCTGTGCTTTGAATATATAAATAATGATGCACATTTAAATTTTACTAACTTGGAACTGTCATTGGGAATACCAAGCACAGTGAGTGAGGAGTTCTGAATACAGAGTATCTTCCGTTAAGTGTTCCCACACCCACAAGCTTCCTGGTCTGGTCCCCCCGTAAGTCATGAACAAGAGCTTGGGCCAGGCCTTCCCCAACAGTGAAGGAAAACATTCAACTGACAAGCTAGTTGGTTACTGGCGAATGTGCCTGGTAGAGGGATGTGTATGGTCTGTTGCTAAGCGTTTCTTCTGCACCGTCATTACACCAGGAAGTCGGCAGCCAAACTCTTTCACATAGAAAGTGCAAAGATACATATGCATGTTTCCATCAACCAACACTGGTTAATGAAAATGTGAAACAGTAGAATCATACTTTATATATACATATTTTAACTTATTCACAACACTGGTCATGTTAGCAAGTGTATTACTGATGTTCTTGATATGTTTAGAAAGTAAATATATGTTCTCATAAAAATTTGGGGATTACATGTGAAAATAAAAATGTATTAGTGAGGGCCTCCCCTGGTGGCGCAGCCGTTGAGCGCTGGGCTGCGAGGCTGCCCGCAGCCTCTGCAGCGCCGGTTTGTTCCCCGGCCACCGGCGAGGGTCCCACAAAAGAAATAAAATGTATTAGTGAAATTGATAGTCAAGCAAAGTAACTGCCCCACCCCATGCAAGGTCATCACGAGCAGACACTTTTACTGAGTTAGTAAATTTTGAATATAAATGAAGAAAACTGGCTTTTTGTAAGTAAGAGCATGTGATGGCTGAGTTGAAGCTACTTCCCCGCCTGTAGGATAGACACCGGCTCGTCACAGGCAGGCTAAAGAGGAGCCGAGGCCCCAGAGCACAGCAAACCCTCTCCGCCATCCACTGAGGCGACAGTGCCTATCCCAACGGCAGGGCCGTGGGAAAGCAGTGCAAGCAGGCAGTGACACCTGTGACGTGGGGCCAGGGCGCTGCGGTTTCCCTGAGCCCCACCACAGCTGAGCCAGGGGGAGCCCACCAGGGCAAGTGCACCTGCCTGTGAACACCCAGCTCTATAGGCGACGCCAAGTTCACTGGTCAGAGTTTCATCGAGTGCCAATATGTCCACGAGGACTGTCGTCTTCCAGTGGCCACCCTGGAATGTTCATTCACAACTTCTGAATGATAGAGCGAGCAAAGAGACCAAGATCACTCCGGCTTCCCTGCAGTGACAGGGGACTCATCCCTGCTTAGCAAAAATCTTGGGGCACAAAACAGACCTAAAGATGAGCCAACTAAACTGGTCACGTTAAGATGGACTTGGACAGACTTGCTGGACACCCACTAAGAGTTCTCAAGGGGGGGCATTCGTTTTCACCTGAGGTTTCTAGGGGTGCAGGGACCTTGTGCTGAGAGGTGTGTAGGGCTCCCTCTGGATGTGGGCTGCCCGAAATCAGCAACAGAGGAGGGACCACCCTGGGGGAAACCAGCTCCTCGTCATTCAAAACACAAGACCGTACGTACGGGTCTTCTCGGTGGTTGTGTTGACAGCGGCGCTGAAGGGGCCGGGGCCGGCGCTGTTGTAGGCGCGAACGGCTGTGTGGTAGGCCAGGTTGCTCCTCAGGCCACGCAGTCGGGCCGCTGTCTCATTTCCTGCCACCTTGACCTGGCTGGAGGAGCTCTCTTCCCCATCAGCCCAGTACCGCACCTGGCGGGCAGAGATGCAGGTGTGACCGTAACATGGGGCCCCTCGAGGAGGTGAGTGTCCACCCTGCACCCACCGCTGGTCCTGTGGGCCTTTCTCAGGACCTACTTGTACCAAGTGCCGCCCCAGGTCACAGCCACGGAAGCAAGGGGCCTGGACGGGCAGCAGACAGCGGCCAGAGTGAGCCGCCAGAGCTAGCGCTGAGCTCTGGCCTTACGGGATGTGGCTCAGCTGCTCCCGCCCCGGCCCTGACACCCAGGCCCACGGCCAGCCTCCCAGAAGCCCAGCCCTGCGCAGCTCCGCCACTGGCTGCTTCATCTCTTCTGCTCTCCAGCCACACATGGGTCTTTCTCTACGCTTATCTTTAATGGTGCCGGGGGCTTCTGACTTGCTCAGGGTCTCACAGCAGGAAGACAGAAGAGCCAGAGCAGCCTCTCCTCCCGATGCGGTGACTCCACTCCTGCGGCCGCCCTCATCTGGTCACCCCCGCGAGACACCCAGGGGCTCTAGGGAGGCATCTCCCATCCTCACCCCCCTCCAGGCATGGCCCCACCAAGCCTGGGGTCGCTGCTCTGCCACCTCCCTAGTCTTGCCAGCCAGAGTGCAGCCCTCACACCAACGGTGTGCATATGCGTCTCCTCCTGTCTGAGGACTGGTTCCTTCTGCTCTTTACACAAATGTGACTTCCTGCTGAACTCCGATTGTGCTGAGCTAACGGGACACCCGCTCCGTCACCCTGGGGCTCCCCACACCAGGCCCCACTGGTCAGGTCACCACCACCCAGACCCTCAGGGTCCTCGTAGGTGACCATCTGCTCTGCCTCGGCCAGCCTGAGCCACCAGGGATGGAACCCGGACAGCCACCACCTCGCTGATGGCCAAGCGCCACGGCTGATGCATGGGGGGTTACCTCGTAGCCCAGCAGACGCCCGTTGCTTGGCTCCCATGGGGCTGCGGCCCAGGAGACCTGGATCTCCGAGGAAGATAGGCTGTTCGCTGAGACCTGCTCGGGTGCGGCTGTAGGCTCTGGGGACAGAAAGGGGAGCGTGACCGTCACTGTCACTTGCTGCTTGATTTCAAGTCTCTGGCTGTATGTCCGTCCCCTACTAGGAGATACCGTGAACAGCTCCGGAACCCCTGAGAACACCATCCCTGCCAGGACGACCTCCGCATCCTCAGCATCTGCCACGCTGGCCTCTCAGCTCCTATTTCTCTCCTTCTGCTTCCTCCTCCCACACCCTCCTCTCCCCTTTACCCCACGGTGGCTGCTTGGGGGTCCCTGTGCCTGTGGGCTTTTTGTTTCATTTTTTTGTCTTGTTGAAGCCTGTCCTGCCACGTCCAGGGCAGTCAGGCCCTGCCACAGGGGCCACCTGCAGGGGCAGTCCAGGGAGCCTCGCTCCGTCCATCCAGGGCTGCCCTCTAAGGGCCCCATGAGAACCTGGGTCTGCGTGGACAGGGACAGAGGCCCGCAGCTCTCATGGCACTGAACGTCCCTCAGGTCCACACCATGGGCCTGCGCGTCTGACAGCCAGCCAAGCCCTGACTGAAGCCTTGGCCCACTCGTGGGCCTCCAGAAGTGGGGCGCGCCCAGGCCAGAAGGGCTGACGGGTCAGCAGGGGCAGTGAGGCAGGACAGGCCCAGCAGCGGCTTGCGGGATGCAGATGCTGCCCACACGTGCAGGAGCGTGGCACAGGCCCCAGAGGGGCTTGCGTCTGGCTGCAGGGGAAACTGGGCTGCCGCGGCACGATCAGTGCGGGACACGGCCTGCTCGTCCTCACCGCGACGCCCGCGCCGGCACCCCTGAGGTTGGCGCGCCGCCTGCTCACCCTCCTCGGCCGAGAAGATGGTGCTCACGGGGCTGAAGGGGCCCTCGCCTCTGCGGTTGTAGACGCCCACCCGCACCTCGTACGGGGACATGGGCAGGATGCTCGCGTTGCGGAAGACGAAGCGCGGCGCGTCCGGGGCCGTGACCACCGTCTGCATCCAGGTGGGGACGCCCAGGGGCCGGAAGGCCACCAGGTAGCCGAAGCCCTGGCCGCTCTGCAGCTCCTCGGGGACGGGCTGCAGGGAGGACACGGTAAGGCCGCCCCCACCAGGGCCGTTGCATCTGTTGCGGAGGACACGTCCGGCGGTGTTTCCCTCCGGGCCCACCCGGGAGGGGCCGCCAGCGCGAGCCGGTGTCTTGGGTCACTGGCCGGCAGGCACAGCTGCTCGGCATCCGCCACGTCTCCGGTGAAGAGACGGCTTGGGTGCCACTGGCTTCGAGGGAGCCCACGCCCGGCCCGCAAGCCCGGCCAGGGAGGGACTGCGCAGGGCAGGCGGCCAGGGCGCTGGGGCGTGGCCGGGACATGCTCCGAGGGCGACCGGTGGGGGGGGGGGGCGGCCAGGGGCAGCGGTGGGGGCCCATGGGGGGCACGGCCGGGGCGCAGCTGCTGGACCGCCGGGGGGCGCTCAGGACACTCACGTCCCAGGTGATGACCAGCTCGGACCCGCCGCCGCCGCCCCCGCCGACGTCCGCAGGAGGCACCGCCGGAGCTGGGGGCAGAGACAGAGCCCGGTCCCGCGGCCGCGGCGTCTGGGGCCGGCGCGGGGCCGCCGCTGCCTGGCGCGGGGCAGCAGGGCCCGGCTCGGGCGTCGGGGTTGGTCTCCGCGCGGGGCGCGTCCTCCGGCTCCGGAGGCCTCTGCAGAAGGGGCCCGGCCCGCCCGCCGCGCCCCGCAGCCTGGGCCCGCGCCGGCTCCGCGGCTCTCCGGGCCGCGCTCCGGGCCCGCGCCGGGCCTCCCGCCAGGCCCCACGCACGTCGGCAGCGCCGCCCTCAGCCCCGCGCCGCGCCCAGGCCGGGCTCCGCGCGCCCGACGGGCCGCCAGCCCGCGCCGCCCAGCCCCCGGCCGCCGGACGGAGCACTGACCTGCCTCCGCGGTCCTTACTTTCTCCGAGGGCGCGCTGGGCTCCCCGCCGCCGACGCGGTTGCGGGCCACCACGCGGAACTCGTACTCCACCCACGGGCTGAGCCCGACCACCGTGGCTGTGCGCGCGCGCCCGTCCACGGCCGCGGGCTCTGCGGGGGGCGGCAGTGAGCGCGCGCGCGGGCCGGCGCCCGGGCTCCCCGGGGCGCGCCCCACCTGTGGCCGCCGCCTGCCAGCCCACGGAGAAGGGCGAGCGGGCCTGCACGGCGTGCGCCAGCACCGGGCTGCGGTTGTCCGCGCCCGCGCCCCAGGACAGCCGCGCCGTCGTGGCCGTGACCTCGTCCACGCGCACGTCCCCCGGCGGCCCGGGCGCACCTGCGGGCAGCGGCGCGGTCAGCTCCACCCGGAGGGTCCCCCGGAGCCGCGCGACCCCCGCCCCCGCCCCGGGCGCCGAGGGCCTCGGAGGCCGAGTCCCGCTCGCGGCGCGGCTCCCCGGGCCTCGGTTCCGCGGAACTCGGCGCCGTTTCCGCCCCGGCCCGGCCGTGCGCGCGGGGCGCCCTCCCCGGGCTCGCGGACCCCTGAGGTCGGCTGGTGGGGGCCGCCCGCTCCCGCGGGAGCTCCGGCGTCTGCGCCCCGCGGCCACCCAGCACCGCGGCGGCCAGGCCCTGGGGCCCCGGCCCGCCCCGTCCTTGACCCGCCCGCCCGGCCCGGCCCGGCCCGGCCCTCTCCCCGCCCCGCACGCGGACATGCCGGGGCTCCGGGGGCCGCGGCCGCGCCTCCCCGCCCGCCGGCCCGCACGCCCGGCCACGCGCGGCTCACCTCGCACGACGAGGTCCGCGGCGGAGGACACGCTGTCCGCGCCCGTGCGCGCCTCGCACGCGTAGCGGCCGGCGTGGCGCAGCTGCACGTCCCGGATCAGGAGGTCGCCCGACGCGCCCTGCGGGGACAGCGGGGACAGGGGGCGTCGCGGGCACCCCGGGCGGCCGCCGCCTTCGGGGGAGGCCGAGCGGCAGCAGGCCTGGGGCGGGCGGCCACTCGGGCAGCCCCGGCCCCTCGGCAGCGGCGGGCGCCGGCCGGGCGGGGCTGGCTTCGAGGTGGACACGGCAGGCGCAGCCTGGAGACGCGCCTTCCCACCCGGCGCGGGGCCTCCGCCTCCCGCCTCCGCCATCGTCTGCCCGGGAAGAACCGGGGCGCCGGCATTTGCTGGGGGGACGCGGGATTAGCCCGGAGGAGACGCGCTCTGGGGCGTGAAGAGCCCAAAGCGGCTCAATCCCCTCGCTACGAGCTGGGGGCAGGGACGCCAGCCGCCAAGGCAGAGCAGAAGAGATGAAAACATCCCAGTCCTGAAACAGCAGCTGCCCATGCGGAGCCTGCCGGCACCTCTCAGCGCCAATTAACAGAGCAAACCTCCTTCTTTCTCGAAGTCCAACCTCAAGCGATTCTCCTTTTGGAAGCGTAAGAACAGGCAACACGACCAACTGTGTAGCGAAAACGCAGACTGCAATGAAATTACTTGGAAAATGAAACCCTTTGAAAACGGCGACTTATCCAAAACTCTCTTGGCTGGTGCAGGAGCAGCAGGTGTCAGTGTCCACGGTGAGGACGGCTGCTCTGGGGCTGAGTCCCAGGGGCCACGGCCCCACACTTAGGTCACTTCCCATGGCCATCTCCAGTCCTACGGAGACAGGCCGCTGGGCTCTGATGCTGCCCGGGGGTGGGACGGCAGCCCACGTGACCGCTGAGCAACGAACATGCCCAGCGTGGGAGACCCCACAGAGGCCATGCTGGTCAGTCTGGCTGGGGGCTGCTCCCACCACAGGCTCAACTTGGAGACCAGCTCCCACGTTGAGGGTCTTGCCCACATGTTCAAGGTTGGGCGTGCCGGCCGGTCCATCCTGCGGAAAGGATGCTCCTGGACAAAGAGCCCCAAGGGACGCAAGGTGGCCTGGGCCCAGCAGAGGTGCCTGGAGCCAATGCACATGGGGCAAGGAGCCGTGCCAAGTCACACAGCCACGTCAGCAAACAGCCATCATCACAGCATGATCTGAAAAGGCCAGAGAGGCCACAGCTTCATGGGAACCCGGCCCATGTTCCATCATCTGTCTCCCTCAGCTCCTGTTGCTATGGTTACGCCATCAGCTGCCCAGACCCACGGCTGGAAACACTTAGGCCACTTGTGCTGCCAGGCCAGCAGAGACCAGAGGTCGGCGCTGCCAGCCCTGGGTCCCGGCTGGGGTGCCTCAGCTGGCCCATCGCGCTGGCGGGAGCCTGCAAGGGGGCTTTTAGGCTGGCCGTGGGAGCCCCTCCCTGCGGGGCGAGTGGGGGGCCATGGCCTGGCTGCCGGCAGGAGCCATGGTCAGCCACACAGGTGGGCCAGAGGCCGGCAGGGGCGGGCTTGGCAGAAGGGGATACACGGGGACGGTGCTGGGCATTGTGGGGGGATGAGCCCATCTGAGGGCACCAGTGGCGACTCTCTGCGCTCCACCTGCCCCCGCCCTTCTGCACCCGACACACTGCCTCGTTTGCAGCCAGCTGACCCCATGACTAGTGGGGGTTTCTCTGGTCAGGGCTTGAGGGAGGAAGAAAGTGAGTTTGGGGCGCGTGTTCACAAGGTCATTCGCTAGGGCTGCTTGAGTGCCTGGAACCCAGAACAGCTCTGTCCATCCGTCCTTCACTCTGGAAGCCACCAAGATCACCCCAAGGTCAGGGCACCCCACTGCTCCAGAACCAGCAACCCGGGATCCCAGCAGCCTCCCCGATGCTTCAGGAACGAGCTTTACCTCAAAATCTCACTGACAGAAAAATAGGTCTGATGTCAAATACATCATTAGGCTGTTTTTCCTGATAAAAAGGATCTAACATCCTAACGTCAGTGAAAGACAAACGGCTTCTAAAATCAGAGTGCTGACTACGATAAAACCTTAAATCTCCTGACTGCTGAATCTAAAATTTTAAATTGCCCCAAATGAGCCATTTATTCTGCATGCTCTTTTTCATGTCCACATCAGCTAAGTGGTATAATTATTACATCTTACAAATTAGACCAATTTTCTTCCTGAAGCTGGAGCATAAAGTCTACGCAGGAAGCATCAGTCACAGCCCCAAGACAGAAGGCAAAGACCCCACGGACGTCCAGGCCGGTCTCCGCCCGCTCGGCTGGGGCGCGGCCTGGCTCTCCTCCCACAGGGGAAATCTGGGCAAACCCGACCATCAATGCTCTCGCCGGTCTCGCAGGAAAGTGGGTCCCGGAGGACGCCACGTCCCACCTGGCCAGGCGGACGGACGGGCAGACACAGGAACTCACCCCCAGGCGGGAACCCAGGGGATCCTCTGGGACACGCTCTGGGTGAGGGGCGCGGTGTGGACCGGCGGTCAAGCTGGGGGCCCAGTCGCAGGAGGCCGGGGAGTCCTCGCCAGAGCACGGGCCGGGCTGCGCCGGGAGGGGGAGGCGGGTGCCACCGGAGCGCAGCGCCCCCTTCTCAGCGAGGCCCTGGGGCGGCCGCCCGCCCTGCCCTCCGGGAGGAAGGAGACCCCGTCTCTGCCCCGCAGGGCGGGTGGAGCAGGGCCCGGGAGCTGAGGCCCCCAGGGGACCCCCACGCCGGGTCCTGGGGCCCGGGTGCCCCTCCCCACACCCCGCCTCAGCCCCAGGCCTGTCACTGCGCGCCTTCCCCAGCGCCTCAGCGCCCCAGCCGCAAGGCTCAAAAAAGAGGCAGGAAACGGAGAGGAGAGACGGCCTCGCACCGACCTGCGGGCGGGCGCGGCAGCCGGAGACGGCGGGCGGGCGGGCGGGCGGGCGGGCGGCGCGGGCCCGGGTGAGGGCGGGGCGCGGGCACTCTGGGGCCGCCGCGTCAGGCTGGGCGAGGCCGAGCAGCTCCCAGAGCAGCCGGGGGCCAGGCGGACGGGCTCGGCGCCGCCCAGGGGAGAGCCGCGGCAGGCGGGCCGGGCCGGGGGCCGGGCAGGGGCAGGCGGCCCCGAGGTCCGTGACGGGAGGCCGCGGGAGGGGCGCGCTGAGGCCAGGGGCCGCCGCGTGGTCGGAGCGCCGGGCGCCGGGGCCGCGGGAGCCGCGCTCCAGGGACACGCGGGCGGCGCGGCTCGTGACCAGTGTCGGCGACTGGATGCGTGTGCGCACGCACGTGACGGCTGAGCGCACGCACACACGCACGCACGTGACGGCTGAGTGAGCACGTATGTGCACGCACGCGACGGCTGAGGGAGCGCACGCACGGACACGCATGCACGCGAGGCGGCCGTGGGACAGAGGCGTCCGGGACCACGAGGGCCCAGCGCCGGCGACGCGGGCGGGGCCGCTGGGAGGGGCCGGTCGCGCTGCCCGTGTCGTCACAAACGCGCCGCCAAGGCGGCGGAAGCCGGTGGCCCTGTGTGGGGCGAGGAAGGGAATCCCAGGCCGCCGTGGAGACAGGAAAGCCAGGAAGTGGGGCGGCAGGACGGGAGCAAAGAAAGAGAAATAAGCCGAATTAGCGCGAACATCCGGCCGCGGAACCACCTCAGACACAACGGTGTAAGCACCCGGGTGCCGGGGCGCAGACCGGTGGGGGTGGGGGTGGGGGGTCTTAAGCGTCAGTCGTGAGCGGCAGAGGCTGCAGCGTGCGCGGAGAACCAGGACACCCGGCGCGCCTGGCGCGCAGGAAGCCTCTCCACGTGGAGGCCGCGGCCTGAAGCAAGCGCCTGCAGAAAGATGCTTCCCGCGCGCACCGACCGACAGAAAGCCGTGCCTGCGTCAGCGCCTGGTCAGGACCGCCCGGCGAGGACGGCGAGGCCACGACCACGGCCAGCGCTCGGCGTCACCGCCCTCCCTCTGGGCCCCTTGGGCCAGCCGCCGCCGGTCCACCCCAGACCAGCCCGGGCAGGCGGACGGCACCACAGGAGCAGCCCTCCCGCCCGTCCTTGCTCGCCGCGCAGCCTGACCTCCCAGCGCAGGGAATCGGCCCGAAACCAGTGACGCAGGGAGCGGGACACCGAGGTTACAAAGCACACGGCGCAGGAACACACGGGCAGAGAAGGAAGTCGGGAAAGGTACAACACGTATTTTGGGCTAAAAGACATTTTGAGCTAAATGACAAGGCAACTTACTGTAACGTGCGGGATGCAGAGGACCCGTCTCAGTGGCGAGAGGGATGTGTCCAGCATCCAAGGACACAGTAGAAAAAAGAGAAATGTAATCTAAGTTTCCACCTTAGGAAATTAGAAGAAGAGCAAGTTAAATCTAAAGTAAGCAGATGAAAAGAATTAATAAAAATTAGACCAGGAATCAATGAAATTGGAAACTGAATCAACAGGGAAAAAAATCGATAAAAGATAGAAAGTGGTTCTTTGAACAGATCAATAGAATTGACCAGCCTTGTGTCAGGCTAATTAGGAAAAATAGGGAGGAAACACGAATCACCAGTACCAGCCAGGACATCAGCCCAGACCCCATGGCACTGACAGGACGATGAATAACACCAACAATTTCACACCCACGGAATTGTAACTTGGGTCAAGTGACATGTCCCGGAAGGCGCCATCCACCAAAGCACCTGCAGGCTCTGATGGTCAGCCTTCCAGGGAGGTGAGTCAGTAGGCCTCAGCTCACCAGGTAGAGACAGAGAGCCCAGGGGTCACTGGGGAGCCCCACCAAGCATTTAGGGATAATTAACAGCTCCCAATAGCCTCTTTCAGAGACTGAGCTGTGACCCAGCTCACTTTACAAGGCCTGCACTGCCCTAAACTGAAACCACAAAAACATTCTAAGAAGAGAAAACTATAGACCAGCATCTGTTAGGCATAGAGATGCAAAAATTCACACATATGCACAAACCAAGTCCAGTGATGAATAAAAACGGCGTGAAACCCACATGAGGTCTCCCCAGAAGGCAAGGCTGGCTCAAGATCTGAAAGTGAGTTAGTGTCATCTGTCCAATAAATAGGATAAGAAAGAAAAGCCACATAATGTATCGATACAGACAAAGCATTTGAAGAAAAGCCGATACCAACTCATGATAAAAACTCTCGGCAAACTAGGAATAGATCAGCATTTCCTCAAATTGACTGAGAACATCTATAAACAAACCAAAACCACCTCCGTAGCTAGTAGCTAGTATCATACTGAATGGTCAGAAACAGGAGACTTCCTGGGTCAGAGCAGGAGCAAGGCCAGGGCCCCCTTCTCACAACTGCTTCTCAACACTGAACTAGAAACCTACCAATTCAGTAGGACGAGAAAGGATATACCATCACAAAAAGAGAAAAAGGATCTCGAGCGGGGGAACAGGACATGCGCACGCCACTGTCAAGCGCCCCAAGATAAAATGCTGAGGCATACGTCAAAGACCGCCGAGAGCTAAATGGGGGAAGCTACGAGCTGACAGATAATATCAAAAAAGAATGAAATAGCAAAACACGGCGATTCTGGCCAGGAAGATGCAATGTCATCCAGATGCCGGTTCTCCCAGCCTGACCTAGAGTCCCAGAAACCAGTCAAACCCCAGTGGGTCACTCAGTGGGTCCTGAAAGGTGAATCTAAAATGGTGACGTGAGGACCCAGAAACTCCAGTCCAGCAGAGCAGGAGGATTGACCTGCTCAAGGTTTGGGGGAAGGGGCGGTGATGGAGACTGAAAGAGACAGACAGTGAGGAGACAAGGACCAGAGGGATGGCCAGGGAGGGTGGGAAGGGGAGGCAGGGCCTCCTCTCAACAGTGAGGCTGGGACTGGAGCACCGCACAGAAGAGAGCCTAGACTCAGACCTCAGAGCCTTCAAAATGGAGCCCAAACGGGTTACAGACTTTCTAAGTTTGAAAGGCAAAACTCTAAAGCTCCTAGAAGGCAACTCAGGAGAAAGCTGAACGCTGCGGGGGAGGTGGGGGCTCCAGAAGCCTGCAAGGGGCCCCTGGAGAACCACCACTCTCGAAGCTCAGCCCCAAGGAAACCAGCCACTGCACCGGCGGGCACAGGCCCCACAGACAGTGCAGGAAGAGACCTGGGGGCAGCAGGCGGCTGATGCGGGCCAGGAAGCTGCCCATTAAAGCAACATGTTTTATTTTAATTCTTGAAAATTTACTGATGATTAGACATGTTGAAAAGTAAGTACTTTCTCTCAATTGACAATGTTTTCCTGATGTTTTAAAGTTTTTTGACCAACACGGTTTTGATGGCCAAGAGTGACTGACACCCACATGGCCCCCGAGCACCCGCAGGTGCAGCGGGCAAGGCTGGCGAGTCCAGCAGGCCTGGCAGCGGGACTGCGCATGGGATGCTGCGGCGGCCGGCACTCATGTCAGACATTTGTCAAACGTGGAATGTTCCAAAGCTGGAGGGCGTCCAGTCTGCCATGGAAGCTGGGCCACACGGGTGCGCAGGTAGTTGCATCCTCACGTGCAGGCTGGGCCCGGCAGGCTTGGCAGACAGGTGGAAAACAGCGGCACTTGGCTTTCAAGTTTGCCCTGAACCTAAAACTGCTCTAAATAATAAAGTTTATTGACTGAGATAAAGGGCCGGTTGCTAAACACCCCCTATTTTATGGACAAACATTTCACAGCTAAGTGGAGACCAGCAGAACAGCTTGCTGGGGTGGATGTAGGGGCTGGGGAGCTGGGATTGAGGTGGGAGGTGAGGAGGTAGGAAGGTGGGGAGCTAGGATTGGAGCTAAGGATGAAATCTTTGTGAAGTGACTAAAATATTCAGAAATTGTGTTGATGGGCGCACACTCTGAATATACTCAAAGCCTCTCAATTGTACACTTTAAATGGGCAAATTGCTCGATATGTGAATTAGTTCTCCATAAAAGTGCTATAAAATAATCTACGGCCGCACGAGTAACACAGTGTTATGGCTGCAGCCACCGTTTTCCTCTTCATTTGCTGTGATTTATTTGTTCATTTGTTGGAGTTATTAGCTCTACCCCGTTTGTGACAAGCCCCCTCTTTCAGGGTATTATTTATGAACATCTCAGGCCTGCCCCCACACTGGCAAATAAAACAAAATCGCAATTAGGAGCAGCTTGTTCTCTCCACCCACTGCACCAGCCTCGCCCCCGGCAATGAGATGTCTTGAATCTGCAAATCACAGATGCAGGCGAATCTCTTCTCTAAGGGCAGGGTCTGGGAGAGCCGTGAGCAGCACTGGGGAAGCAGGGCCAGCCCAGGACTCTCGGGGTGTCCCCATCTCCAGTGTTAGCACCTCCACACTCTGCAGACTCGGACACTTTCGGTCCACACACACTGATGTCCCCTCTGGGAGTCGCTTGCATGCTTTTTGTTTTTAAACATCCTTCTTTATTTTTTCACAACATAGGATTTCTCCCCTCATGTGCGGTCACCATACTCTTTTTTTTTTTTTTATAAGATTTTATTTTTTTAACGTAGAAGAGCTGGGACACAGGCCAGAAGTGCAAGGGTTGAGAGAACTCACCAGAGACAGAGTGGGGAGCAGAACAGGTGGATCCACTGAAATCCACTGCTGAGGGGAGCAGCGGGGAGGCAGGAGAGGTCTGCTGCGCCCTGTGGGTAGCTCCCTGGCCAGGAATCGAACTTGTGCCGCAGTGGCTGGCAATTCTGAGACTTAACCCCTGCACCACCAGGGAGGCCCAGGTCACCATAGTCTTCCCACCAGGAAGCAGGGGTTTTGTGAATTTCCCTAGCTAGAAATACAAAGGTAATTTTTCTTCCTCTTTTCCAAGGTGTCATTATCAAGCCCCCAATTTTCTTCATTTGGAGGAGTCAAAGTCTCCTTAGTCTAATTCTAAGTTGTTAGTAGCCAAGTTATTAATAAGCAATCTCATTATTAATCTGAGGAAGGAGATGCTGGTGATAATGACACATTATTCCTCAATTGTCTTTTCATCAAAAAAAAAAAAATAATAATAATCCAGGAAAACCCGAGCGTGGAAAGGGCTTGGGGAACAGGTAAATGCTGGTGCTGTGCTGATGGCACACACCTCACAGGGGCTGTTCTGAAACAATCTGGAAACAGCCTTCCCTGCAGAGCTGCCAGCAGGGAGGCAACCACAGCCAGGCCCCAAGCCTTCCTTCCCCACACTCTGCATGGAGCGCGCAGAAAGTACTGGGGTCACCTAGCTTTACAGATGGGGACACTGAGGCAAAGAGCAACTAAAGTCTCTGCTCTGAACCCGGCCACAGGTCCCGCTTAGCTCCCTGACCCGGGCCCGCCTCTCCCTGCTCCTGTGCCACCTTCCAGCCTGGGCTTGCTGGCCAGGGCTGCTTCCCGGATTGGTCCACCAGACTCCAGGGCAGCCTTACGTCATCATCCAGCTGCATTTGCCAGAGCACAGCATATGTAGCAAGGGAATATTACTCAGCCATGAAAAAGAATGAACTCTTGCCATTTGCCGTGACACAGATGGACTTTGAGGGGACACCACTCCATAATGCGGTGCGTTGACAAGAAATGTCATCTATGTGGCCCCACCCCCACCCCAGCATGCTTGTGACACCATCACCCTGCACGGGATGCTCACATAGCACAGGCGCCAGCCTCATGACCTCACCCCATATCCCAGCCTCAGGCCAGTGCCCCGGCCCCCAAGCCACGAGGAAACGGCAGTGACTTACCCCGCCAACCTTCTCGAAGTGAGTGCCATCCTTGAAGTCCACGAGGGCCCCATCGACGTACCAGGCAAAGTCGACGTCCAGTAGGGGGTCGTGGCGCACCTGGCAGGGCAGAACCACGCTCTCGCCCACGGACACGTCCACGCTGGATGGGGCCAGAGCCATCCTGGTGGGCTCTGGGGAGAGGCAGGGCCATCAGGGCTGTGACTGCGGGGACTGGTCCACACAGCCGTGTCGGCAGCACCTGGGGAACCATGCAGGGGCCACAGCACCCAAGCCACGGGCCCAAGGCAGCGGCAGGAGGACAGACGGGAACCATGCCCCAAGGCCTGTCTGTGTCGGGAGGATGGGCCTGCGCTCTCGACATGGAGGCTTAAGACTTGCGGCCCCTGGGGAACGAGGGCTACTAACCACGACGAGATTAGCCTCGACAGAGTTTTATTCCCTCGTGAGATAAAGAAGCAGAGCAGGAACCTGTGTTTTCATTAGTCCCAAGTGACTGGACATCTATACAGACCCATCTAAACACATGCCCCCCTCCCCAGCTAGGCCCTGCGGGCACCCCCGTCCCTGCTCTTTCTCCTGGGGTTGAGTCCACTTGGTCAGCAACTGCCATTGACCGTGCACATGACCTCCATGGGGGCAGGGGCCTCGTGACCCCGGCACTTCTGCCGTGAAGCCACAGCCCGTCTCAGGGACAGCAGCCCCAGGGGCGCATCCCTCCACCTCCGAGCCAGCCCCGGGGGTGAGCGCCCAGCCCAGGCCGCAGCCAGACACGCATGGCTCTCTCCACGAGGCATCTGCAGCTTTCCTTCTATGTAACCCCTCTGCTGACTGTCGCCAGCGCTGGTGGATGTGCCCCCTGGAGGGCAGCATCTCGCATGGACATGCTCCGGGCACCCGGCCTCTGGCAGCCCCCGGTGCTCCTACCAGCAGAGGAACCAAACACGCCACGTCCCCCGTGGCCACACCACCCTTGCTGCCAGCAGGGCCAGGTGGGACCAGAACAGCCCAGATGACCTCAACCTCACCCCGGCCACCGGCTGCCCTGCCTGTGCCCCCCCCCCACCCGCGGCCCTCTGGGAGCCCACCTGTGACCACCAGGTGCGTGGTGCCGCTGGCCCTGCCGAACTGGTTCTCAGCCACGCAGGTGTAGGCTGCGGCGTCAGCCTTGGTCACGTTGGTGATTCTGAGCCCTCCGTCCTTTAAAAAGGTCACCCTGCGGGGAATAGATCAGACACCAGATCAGAGTGGTGGCCATCCCCAAGCCAGGAGCAGTTGTCAGGGGGTGGGGGCTGTCGCCCTCAGCCAGCGCTTTCAAGGTGGGACAAGCATCCCGCCCTTGGGCAGAGAAGCCGGACACCCACACCAGCCCTCACGGCTTCTGCCCTCACCCCCAGCCCCGGGTCTGAGCCACACGCGGTCACCCTGACCCAGTACCTGAGCCACAGGTGGAAACATTTTCCAAAGACACGTGGTGCGGTGGGTCACCCACGGCTTTGTCAGTTTGGAGAAACAAGAGTCGACGGACTGTCCCCACCACCCCCATGGAAGCGGCGCGGGGCCCAGAACCCGGCTCTTGTCACTGTGACGTGGCATCACTTTCTGTGCCACTTAACACGAATTCTGCGAAAGAGCCTCTGGGGGGTCACCGAGGGCGCCTATGGCGCATGCTCTGCGCTTGCCCTGGGAGCCTTCGGACGGCCGCCCGGCTGCCGCCTGTGCCTGGCCCTGCGGGCAGAGCTGCCAGCCAGCACCCAGGGATGAGGACGCAGCACGACTCAGCCCAGCCGCCGAGAGCAGGGGCCCTGCGGGCAGCGGCGAGTCCGTGTCCGCGGCCCTGAGCGCACGAGGGCGGCCTGGCCCCGACCGCGGGCACAAAAGCCAAACAGGCAAACGGGGCGACGTCAAGTTAAGCTCCTGCACGGGGGGCTCCAGGAGGAAACCAGCGCGGCTGGAACGAGGCTGTTGCAGGACACACCCGGCGAGAGGGAAACGTGCCAAACACACGCACGGCTGCTCACAACAGCCGCGGGACAGCAGGGTAGCCTGAAGGGACAAGATCGAAGTGGACGCGCCCCCAGTGTGGACCCGGAGCAGCTCCCAGGGACGCTGACCCCACACGCCCAAAGCCACCCCGGGAGCTCGGCCACTGCCCCAGGGCAAGGCCACAGGAGGGGCCGGACGCCGCGCTGGGCACGGGTCGGCACAGACACTGGGAAAACAGAACGGAGCATCCTTCAGACACTGAAGACGGAGGTTCCGTGGGCGCTGGGTGCTCACCCGAGGGCCACAGCGCTGGCGCGGAGCCCCGGCACACGCGGGGAGGGCGGAGGGGCCACCGCGGACACGGCTCACTCTGAGGGCGAAGGCACCAGGGGACGGCCTGGGGGAGGGCCCCCCAGACCCCCCTCCCGTGTGGAAGTGCAACCAGCCGATGGACTGAGCGTCCTCGGACTATAAGGCCGGGGAGGGCCATGGGGGGAGGGCTCAGGTGCGGGGGGCACCCACTGCTGGAGCAGGACTGGCTCACTGTGGGGGACCCACGCCAGTAACACCGGCTCAGACCTCACACAGCAGCACCCCGAGGCAGTGAAGCCTGGACGTGAACCCGCCCCCCACGGGGCCTGGAGCCTCATCTCGCCGTGACCTCTTTGCCCTCTCAAGTTAAGGCCCCGCCGCCTCCTGAGCGCTGCTGGGCAGGCGCTGCCGCCCACTCAAGGCGCCGCCACAGGAGCCCGGCCAGCACAGCGCTGCCTAGCCGACACCAGGCCCCACAGCGACGGGCTGGGCCGGGCTGCGCTGACGCTGGGCCGCTGGAAGGGGCCTCCCGTCTGCAGGGACACCAGGAGGGGGAGGGAAATCTACTCCGTGACATCTGGCTAATCCAGTCTAAACTCTAACATTTGGTGGGTGAGTCCTCTGGCCCAGGAGCAGGAGCACAGCCACCCCCACCCCCACCCCCCCCCAGGAGCAGGGAGCACAGCACCCCCCAATCCCCCCGCCCACGGCCCAGAGTACCTTCGGCTCTCCTGCAGGCTCAGGTCTCCTCTCTTCCAGGAAAGGCGGGCCCGGGGGGAGGCCTGGGGCCTGCAGTCCAAGCTGACCACGCTGCCCGCCAGCGCCTGCACCGCCTCCTTTATCGGGGTCCTGGAGAAGTCGGGAGCAGCGGCTGGCGGGGAAGGAAGAGGCACGAGAAAGGGCGTCTGGGCCCTGGTGCTCTAAGCCCCGCCCTCGGCAGAGCCATGTCTCCACCCGGCTCCGCTTGTGCCAGGACAGCAACCCTCACGAGCAGGGTCTCGGGCGCGGCCAGCAAGTGCTGGACCACGCGGCAACATGTCACTCAGGAATTTCAAATGTTTACTGTGCAGTGCTAAAGGCGCTCAACTGTGAATTCACAGAGTGCAAGGACGATGCTGACCAGAGGCTGTCCTGGCCAGCGAGCGCGCGGGCACGGCAGAGAGGCCGTCAGCCTGGGCTCTCGGCTGCACAGTGCCGGGGTGGGGTGGGGCCCCTGCAGCTGGGCAGGAAGGGTGAGGGCGAGCGTGCTGCTGCTGCTGCTGTGTGGTTGAGCCCAGAGGCCGGCGACATTCCCGCCACCCCCACCTGACAGGTGTGGGGGGCAGGTGTGGGGGTGTCTGCACACCAGAGGAGGCTGACAAGGCTGGGCCCTGGATCCGGCTGTGCTTGGAATTTCAAACTTTCCTCAATCACAGGGAGGATGCGTTTCCTCCCTCCTCCCCGCCCCCCTTCAGTGGCGGTTGCCCACCCACACCCTGACCCTGTCTTCTCCTGGTGGTGCCAGGCGGGCAGTGCCTCTAGGCCGGGCTTCTGCATGGGAAGTTTGCTGCTGTGGCCCAGGAACAGGACAGCAGCCTCGGACCCTGCCGGAGGCGCAGTGCTGGGGCCCTGGACATCTGGCGGGCAGCATGCACCCCCACCCACCCGCGGGGTCAGGAGGCACTGGCGGGCTCACCCAGGACTCGGAGCTCAGCGCTTGCATATGTGCGCCCGTGCTTGTTCTCCGCCACGCACTGGAACATGCCGGCGTCCGCCAGGCGCAGGCCGGAGATGGTCAGGGCACCGTCCTCGATCTGCACCCTCTCCTGGGGACACAGGCATGCTGAGCGGACATGCTGGGGGACCAGCCCGCTGCGCTCCCCTCAGGTCTCCTCCAGCCAGCCGGGGCCTGCGGGGCTGTGCCCAGCCACGCGTCCAGCCACTGCACCCACGCTCCACGCTGCAGCCCGCGGGCTTGTTTAGAGCTGCACAAGGCCAGGGTGCCCGCGGGCTGGGACCCGCAGCTCCTGCCCAGCTCGACCTCCTGCACTGCCCGGGGCGGCCTGTCTGCGCGGCCTGCAAACCGCGTGTTAGGCCAATTGAGTCCTTCAAGTCCCTCACGTCGCTGGGACGCTCCCCAAACGCCCTCAGTAACATGTTTCCCAAAACCTTCTTCGCGCACCGAACCTCCATCTGTTCCTCTCGTGATTTAAACAAAACTCCTCCCGCCCCCAGGCTGGGAGCAGGTCACCACAGACACCGCCCGGGCAGCCCCTCTCCGGCCTGCGGGGCCCCTCGCGCCTCACCTCTGGTGCCAGCGCCGCCCCGTTCTTCAGCCAGCGGTACCAGGGCTTGGGCTTCCCGCCTGCCCGACACTCCCAGTGCAGGCTCTCGCCAACGGCCAGCTCCGCGTCCCGGATGAGGCGCACCCAGTGGGGCTTCGCTGCAGGGACGGAGAGACTCAGCACCGGGGCAGACACCCCCACGTGGGGGTCTCCCGCAAACTCCGCGTCACTCCCGGGGGAGCTCAGTCCAGAACCACGAGTCCCTCACACCTGTGGTCTCGGCCCTGAGTGGCGCTGCCCCAGGTCACTGTCCACTCCAGGGGGAGGTTCTCGCCCAGGACACCAGGGTAGCCGGCCGGCCCACGGTCACACCCTCTGGCCACTTCTTGTGAGCTGCACGCACCGCTGGGGGGGCGCTGGCCAAACGGCCTCACCCTCAGCCAGGACCGCGGGGGCTGCACCGGCCTTGCCCCAGCCGGACTCCTGGTCCTCTCAGCTCCACGCCCTGGTCACCTTGACCAGGTGCAGCCGCCCCTCTCGCTCCTCCTGGACCAGCCTGAGCATCCCCGGGAGTCCTCTCTGCCATCACCCACACACTGTCTCCAGGGAGACTGCACGTAGCCCCGTCCCAGGAGGAGCCCTGGGTGACACCCCGGGCCTTGAGAAGGGACTGCAGACCTGGCGGGCAGAAGAGCCGCAGCCCCGCGGGGTGGAACACGCAGGCCGTCCCGAGCAAAATCTCATCTTTTTAACAACTCTGCGGCAACGCTCAGCCGCACTTGACAGAACAGCCGCTGGCCAGCAGATGCCGCGGGAGCCGCAGCCGACACCCACCGTAGTACGTGAGCCGGCCGCGGGCGACGTTCCGGCCTCGGGAGTTCTCGGCCACGCACTCGTAGGCGCCCGCGTCCTCCTGCTGGAAGTCGGGGATCTCCAGCACGCCGCCCCACTTCCTCCGCCGGGCCTTGCTGGGAAAGGCCAGCCCGTCGCTCCGCCGCCAGCTGATCTGAGGGACGGGGCTAAGGAGAGCGGCGACGCCGGGTCACCTGACCCTTTGAACCGACTCCGAACCACATGGCCTCGTGCGGAGAAGGCCCTGGGCCGGCCCGGCAGAGCTCTAGGCCTCGGCGGAACCCCGCGTCGGCCCCAAAGGGGCCCAGTAAAATTAATCCTGTCTCAGTAAAATTAATCCTGCGCCTTGTTAATTCATGACTCACAGACAGAAACTCAGCCGCCTGCTTCTGCCTCACAAGACGCAGGTGGAGAGGCCGAGGAGGCTCAGCTGCAGACCCACCCAGGCGGCCCCTCTCCCGCCAACGCCTCTGAGGTTTCAGATTAAGTGACCCGCGGGTTGGTTTTCCTTCGCTCGTGAAGGAAGGGAAGTTTTAGGAAGCCAGACTACCTCGACCTCTTGCGGCCCACGGGGCAGTGCCCAAACTTACTTCCCGAGGGCAAAGCACTCCAGCTTCACCGTCGAGCCCTTAGCCGCTGGAAGGACTTCTGGAAACTGCACTTCTATCTTCGGCTCATATTCCCCCATCGCGCCTGCGGACGGAGGACGTGGCCGTTACCCTCCGTGGGGCACGCCATTCCTCGCACGGGGCCGCCCTGCTGTGTGGGCCTGGTGCCTCCTAGCAGCAGGGGACTCGCCCTCCACCGGGCCCCTGAGGAGCCGGGCAGCCGGACAGCAGGTGCCGTGAGCAGCCAAGCTGAGCTGCGCCCCCACCCGCCCTCAGGGCCTGATGTCGCTTGGACACAGCCAGACGGACGGATGGAGGGTGTATTATGGCTTCTGAAGCACCCCTGCGAGCCCTGGGGGGCGCTCCCCGCTGGCGCCGGCCTGAACTGGGGTGGGGACTCACTCTGAGCCCAGAGCTCCTTTAATGCAGGGGGCTCAGGGGCAGGTCTCACCTGTGGTTTATAAATCAGAAATACCGTTTTGTTCTGAGAAACAATAGGTAATTCTTCAAGGGTACTAGTCACCGTTTCCCATTAATTTCTGCTTGAGCACCTAACCTGGGGGCACCGCACCTGGGGGGGGCACCACACCTGGGGAACCACACGGGGGGCACCCACGGGGGCTTCCTACCATCGGCGCGCAGCACCAGGGGCGTCGGCGAGCCCAGCACGCGGGTGTTCGTCACCAGGCTGGTCACCACACAGCTGTAGTTCCCCACGTCGGGCGGCTCCACCTTGGCCACGTAGAGGTGGCCCGTCTCCTGGGAGACGAACCTGCGGCCATCCTCCTCCACGAAGGACGGGTACGCATTGAAGATCCAGGCGTACGCCAGCTCTGGGCACGGAGAGAGGCCATCAGCAGGTGTGTGCTGGGGGTGGGGAGGAGCAGCCTGCCCTCGCCCGGCCTGCCCCCAGCTCTTCTGGGGCATGGCCTCGGGGGTCTGGAGCTGGCCGGGGTGGGGTGGGGTTGGTGTGCAGCTCCTGCCCCGCAGGCCTCCCGGGAGGGATAGTGATGTCACCTCTATACCGTGGAGACCTGCGTGCTCCAGGCAGCCTGCCTGACCCCTGACAAGGCGCACGCCCAGGCCCTGCGACTCCCCGCGGCCAAGCAGCCCAGCCCCCTCCACGCCCCCAGCTCGCTCCCTGCTGCGCCAGCACTATGACCAGCCACGAGCCCCGAGGGCACCACCCTCTGGGTGCCGGGCGCCTTGTCCCCTTGCCAGAGCCTGCCTCCCGGACCAGCGGCCACAGAAAGGCCTGGCCCGCTGCCCGGCAAAGGTGGGATGGAGGCCTCGCGGCGGGCAGCTCCTGGGGGCACTGAGGGTGCAGCGGGCCCATGGGCTGAGGGCTCCCCACCCAGGACAGGCCCACCCTGCATGTCCGGCTTCCAGCTCCACCACCAGGGAGACGGAACCCTCAGCAGACATGTTTTATAGAAGAAATTGTCAAGCAAATAGTCGGGCACGACAGCGAGAGTAACGTGGGGGCTCTGTGGTGCCACTTCCGGGCCTGGGCTCTGGGCCAGCTGGCAGAGGGGCGGGGCTTGGCCGCGGGGTGGACACCCTGTCCTAACGTCTGCAGGGTGGGGAGGGCCGGAAATGGCCCCGAAGCCAGTGATGGTCAGTCCTGGGGAGCAGGGATGGGGGGCAGAGTGCCAGCTGTGGGCGGCCTGGCTGAGCGAGAGAGTCCACCCCTCACAGCCCCACAGCAGCACCAGGCCCGAGAACCCAAGGCCGCCAGAGAGGGAGGCAGACTTGAAGCGGTTCCGGTCAGGGGCCAGCAAAGCGGGACGGGGCCAGGACATGGACCTTCCGGGACAGTGGGACCAACACAACTGTTGATACCCACCGCCCCCCAGACGCCCCCACAGTGACCCCAAAACATAGGCAGTGGAGACACAGGGGTATTTGTGGAGTGAAGGACCCCAAGCTCGTGATCGCACCTCCTGCGGGCACCTTCTCGGTTCTCCTCTTGCTTCCAGATCCTCAAGCCCAGAGGCACATCCCACTGTAAGCTGATGTGTAAATAGCTGTTTCCAACACAATCTTGTGATCTGTGCCTCGTGAATACTGTAGCTGATAATGAAGCCGCCACTTGAAAAGCCTTTTATTCAGAAAAGGTTGAACAGGAAGGGTAAAGACCTGTTTTAAAAGATGTTTTTAAAATGTTAACTATATTTTGATGAACTGTTTGATGTGCTGTTAATGGTGAGAATATTTTGAGTGTCTGTGTGTGTGTGTGAGAGAGAGAGAGGAGAGAGAGAGAGAGGAGAGAGAGAGACTCTTTGTTCCCGGTAAGAAAACCCTTGTGATTAGGCAGAGTAAAAGCCTCTTCTGCTAATAACCTCATTTCTACTTACCAGTGGAAATGGGCATTTTATTCTGGTTTAAAAGTCACTCTCTTGGCAGGAAGCGGCAGCAGGTCCCCGCGGCATTCCTTAGGAAAGAGCTGTCATGTCCTCAGAGGAGCTGATGCTAACGGGGACTGCCCGGCATGCTGTGGGCCGCCCGGCCCCAGCCCCCACCCTTCTAGGCTCTGGCTGGCACCTTTCCGGTCTTGAGGGTACTTTGTATCATTGGCAGCCCCACGATGCCCTCTCTGAAATCAGCTGCTGAGGGTTGATGTGGGAGTTAGAACCCAAAAGCATCATCTTCTGATCCATTACTGCCTGTCGTCAGCTTGTGCTAAAGAAATTTCCATTTTGCAAGGGCAGTGGAATCTTGCACATCATTTGAACAGGCAGCAGGTCAGTCAAATCATAATTGGCTGCAGTTAGCCCTCCTGTGAGCTGAAAGGCTCTTCCGCCTCTCGTGGACGGCACCGAAGCTGTCATTTACTGCCACGGGAGGCACAGAGCGCTCAGCCTCAGTGTGTGTGAGAGGCTCGGGGCCGGAGGGGCTGGTGGGCGGTCAGGCGGCGCCAGCACACTGGGTGGTGAGGGTGCACCGGGCACTGGCGCCAGCGCTTTCCCCTGCACAGCAGGTCTTGCCACAAAGCTTCAAGTCCTCGGCAGCCCAGGTTCTGAGCTAATCTCAGCATTGCCCTCAAACATTATCAGGTTCTTGGAACTCCTTGAAAAAGGCACGTCTCATGATAAAGTGAGAAAACCCACTTGCTGGGAGGAAAGAGTCCCTCTCTCTCTCTCACACACACACACTCACTCACTCACTCAAAATATTCTCACCAGTAACAGCACATCAAACTGTTCATCAAAATATACTTAACACTTTAAAAACATCTTTTAAAACGGGTCTTTACCCTTCCTGCTTTAACTTTTCTGAATAAAAGGCCTTTCAAGTGGCGGCTTCATTATAAACTACACTATTAACTAGGCACAGACCACAAGATTGTGTTTTAAGCAGCTATTTACACATTTGCTTACGGCGGGATGTGCCTCTGGGCTTGAGGATCTGGAAGCAAGAGGAGAACCGAGAAGGTGCCCACAGGAGGCGCGATCACGAGTGACTGCTTGGGGCCCTTAACTCCACAAATACCCGCTTCTTTAGGGACTCAGGCCACGTGCTGGAAGGGTCACAGCCGACCCCAGTTCAAGCCACCAGCATGGGCGCCTGCCTCCTCCCCGTCTCTCTGCAGGCGCCTCTTGGCTGTGCAGACGTGTCTAAGGGAACATACTCCCTCCCTGCAGCTCAGTGCAGAAAGGCCCTTCAAAGCCTGAAAAATGCTATGGCCCTTTCTGTGATTTTAACAATTTAGCTAAAAACATCCTGCTGATGTTAGAGAGAAAGAGACACAGAGACATACAAGGTTACTGCCCAAATGCAGGTTTCGGTTAAAATTCTCAGGGGTTAGTGGCTGGCATGTTTAGGCATCACCCCACTTTTATCTTTAATTGGGAACTCTTATTATGGGAGCCCACTGGCTTATTTATTAAGTCCCCCAATTTACTGTAATTTGACACTTGATCCCATTCATGGTTCTCTGCTCACAGTACCTTCCCCAGTCACTGCAGAGAATATGTCTGGCTAACAAGGGGTTCGGCTGTGGGACCCACAAGTCCCTAATGAGAGCCTGTGGGACACGAGGGAGGGAGCGGTCAGCAAGAAGCAGTGGCTATAAGCCCCCCAGAAGGGCGGCTGTTACCCAAGGGGTCTTAGTTCTAGAATAGCAAGTTGGCTGTAAGCACTGCATGTTTGTCCATGTCTGAGATGAGGCCTCAGTCACATTGGCTGAGGATGCTGGGACACAGCCAGGACCAACGCTCCAGCTGCAGTCTCAGCCCCAGTGCCCAGGCCCGCTGACCCTGCAGGGCTAGTGGCTGATCTCAGCGTGGGCTGTTGTGTGGAAGAGGTGGGCTGTAGTTTCCATAAAACATGCTTATTTTGTATCAAAAGTATCCCCCTACTGTCTTGCACCATCTGCAGGCATGTGGGGCCCTGACGCTGAGCTGGCGCAGTCAGGAATGTAACCTGACCCTGTGATCCTTCGAAGAATGGTGACTGTTCACATCACGTGCGATTCTCTACATTTTACAGGGAATTTGGTGTCCAACATGAGTGCCCAGGGGTGCTACCCTTGCCTCCCAAGTGGCCTTTCTTGCCCTCATCTTACCACTTCCTGAGCCTGAGAAACGCCCCATGCTCCGCCCTAGCCGCCTGGGCTCTTCCTCTGGGCCTGGAGACCAACCCTCCTTAAAGCCGTTCGCCAGGACCCTCCCCCTCACATGAAGGTGCCCTCCTGCCCGCCCCCCACCCACCATCCCCAAGCCGCCCACAGGACTGAGGCCCCAGCACACTGGCCTGGGAGCTGCCATTTTCTGTCTAACCCTCCACACACACATCACAATTATTTCAGCTCTATTTTTGGATTGATCGGTACTTTGAAAACAAACACAAAATCAATTGTATAAAATAAACAATTGTCTCTCAGCTAAATCTGTCTTTATAAAAAGTCCACTCTGTTTTAGCAAAGAATACCAGGGCAGGGATTTTTGGCCTGGATTCAGCAAGGGTGAAGTGAGCTTGCAGCGTCTGTTCCTTTAACCACTGACCATTACCTCTCAGCCAGGAGCTCAGGGGCTGCATGCACTGGTGAGAGGGCTGGGGGTCTGCCCTCCCCACCCCGGCCCCCAGGCGCCGGAGGGCACAGCAGGCAGCTGGGTGGCTCCCTGGACAGGACAGGCCATCTCCCCACCTGCCTCTCTGGCCTCTCTGGCCACCTACTCCTCCAAGTGAAATTGAGGTTTGGTTCCTTTAAAGAAAAGCTTTAGCGATAACTTTCCATGTAGAAGTCAAAGTGCTCTTCCACTATCTCAGGAGCTGAATGACACAGAGGAAAGAGTCTCAGGCCAGCAAGGAGCCACACATCCTGTGGTTCGCTCAAATCAATCTACTTACAGAGTCTCAGTTTCCTCGTCTGCGAAATAAAGAAATGAAACCCAGTTCCTCTGCTGTGCGCCGCACGCCCAGCACACCACGGAGAAAGGGATCATCAAACAATGTGGTTTTGCTTTACAGTTATTGATTTTTCCTTGTTTTTGGTCCATAGGGACACTTTCAGAGTTGGTGAAGGAAGTGAAAAAATAAATATTAGAAGAGAGGCTCCCCTTTCTACTACAGAAATCAAATCATCAGTCCTCACCACTCGGGCTCTTGGAGGAGGGTTCACACGGGACATGCGTGCCATCGCCCAGGCCACAGGCTGACTACACCTGGGGCCATCGTGGCTGGGAGCGGAGCCCACACCCAACCACGAGGAGACCCCATGGACGGAGCCAGCCGGGAGCAGCCCTGGTGGTGCAGGGGCCAAGGGTCACCCCAGGGGACCTCAACACAGCCTCAGGCCTGGGAGCATAAGGCTCCCCATCCACCAACCTGA